CAATCGGTTAAAACATTTCAATTTACAATTCAGACCGTCCTCAGAAGAAGAAGTGGTAAGATTCTGGAGCAGTGTATAGGGTCAACTCTAATAGTATAATGAGGAAGCTTACTGGATACCGGCAGAGGAAAATAGAGCCTCGGAGGTCCCACCTATGGCCGATATTGTTATTACAGGGGCAGACGATTAGCCAGCCAATTCCAGAACGCGATTAGAGACCCTTCGAAGATACCATCTTTCTTCACTCAAGGCATAACAAATATGATTTCAAAATCGGACCAAACCCGGGAACGAAGAAATTACAGGCCAATCACATGTCTGCCAGTGGTGTAAAACCTCTTTACATCTTTAATAGAATGCAAGATTTCAGACCTCTTAGTGCAAAGAAGACTCTGACATAGGAGCAGAATGAAGCTCGAACGGTGAGCAGAGGAAGTAACGACTGGCTCCTGATTGATTCTGTTGCCACCAAACAAGCAGCCTCTTGGATGGACTAGCGGAAAGGGTACGACTAGAATTAACTTGCGGGTCAATCAAATAAAGTACTTTACACAGAATATAAAAATAAAAGCTTAATGCTATTCTGCCTCCCTATCAACCCCATGAGCTTTATGCTGAATGCCACCAATCACCGCTACATACAAGAAATCCAAAAGTAACCCCTAATTATTTGCTACACAAGGATGACTTCAAAATATATTCCAGTAACAAAGAAAAACTGCGAAGTCAACTGGACTAGTGGCCAAATACATGCAAAAAGAGGTGAGATTCCAGTAACATCAGATTAATGGACAAAATGGAATTTCCAGCACTGTATTTGCACGAAAGATATAAATACCTTGGTACAAAGCATGCGCTTACCGCTGACCACAAAGCGACGCAGCAAGAGGTAGAAAAGAATCTTATGAAAAAGGTTGGCTTTATCATGAAAACATTCTTGTACACAAAATGTGGAAACAATATAATCTGCTTAATATAATAACAACATTTCTGATATAATTACCCGAAACTACATTGGAGAATGAAAATATAAAAAATTATTTCGGCAGGGAAATGGTAATGGATAAAGAAACTTGCCACAATATACCTGACATAGTTGAATTGAACCGAGAGAAGATGTACACGAATATCTTTGACATCACGATACCCCTCGATGATAACATCAAAAGAGCGAGAAATGAGAAGTTAGATAAGTACCAGAAATTAAAGGCTTGTATCCATAGTTATCTCCTCGAATGGCCTCATTCACAAACAGCTCCCAAATTTCTGAACTGTCGGCCTCGAAAACAGAAGGCCGTAATTCGATCGACATGCAGCGCAGTTAGAAGAGTTTTGGACAAAAAAAAGAAATAAATTCTTGCGCAAGGCAAGTTCTGATCCATCTACATGGTGAAAGAACTTAACCTAACTAAAAAACTTGGTTGACCATTTAAAAATAATCAATTGAACAATAATAACCATATTACATTCATTCTGTTCAAATTACAATAATTTTTCTTTCTTTCTTTCTGTCTGGAACAACCAGATACTGTTCAAGCCTAATATTACCATACAACCTGATATGTCACAGAAGGAAAGGGTGAGGATGAAGAGAATTAAAGTATAAATAACGACTCAGATTTAGTGGATTATTAAGTTTCCAGCAGATGTCTTCCTTCATTTCACATTGACCAGTTTACTGTATGCTCGTTGTCATACGAAATAGAAATTTTGGATATTTCTTTTTTATGTAGCGGTGGTCTGAATCTGTAGTTTTGTCCGACCCAAAAGTAATTGTAATTTTAATCTAAAATGTGGCACCATGTAATCTAGACTTACCAAGCATATTAAGCCAGCCGCAAGCTGCCAAATATAAAGAGATATAACATAAAGGGCCAACACCATGTAAAATCCGATGGCATGAGTTAATTTTGTTGTGATATGGTCCCTAAATCGCAACTTAGAATCGAGCATCAAACCTAAACCTCTACATATGAATATGACAGTGGTATGTCATTCAGCTTTATAAGCATAATATAGGAGTAACACTGGCGTTTTAGTTGGATTAAGCGGTAGCAGATGATCAGAAGCAATTTTTTTTAATTCTCATAGATCAGCGTTAATCAGAGTTTCGTCTCCTTTAATTTTAATAACAGGAAATGAATAATAGATCTGGGTATCATCCGGTGACTGCAATGCTCTGTAAAATTAGGAGTATCAATAGTATATAACAAGATTGCTTTCGAAAAATCGTCGGTGAGTGGGGCAAGTTCGTAGCAAATAGCGCGAATCACCTTTTTGTTTTTCTATCGTGCTCCTGCGGACCACTATGGAACTTTCGCAAAATCAATGTAATTTGATTGTGAATACACCCTGCATAAAGTGTCCTTCACATCTCGTCGAACTTCAAAGTTACGGCACACTTCGGTAAATATTAAAATGTTTACTGGTAATTGCAAATGAAAATTATATTTTTCAAATATCTTGAGACTCCTGTATTATAGACGAAACCGTAAACTCTCTCTCGATACAGTTTACTGTTCATATCAAATTATCACATCTTTAAAACTTTTTCATGTATCGCCAATAATTCACCCAAAAAAGCGGAACTTTCTAGGATTTATATATTCACGGATGGAAAAATGTGATGAAACTATACTCCGGGATATCATCCGTTCGCTCGTTGAACTCCGACTGGAATCCTGCAAATCCTGCATCCGACTGGAATCCTGAAGATGCCAAATGAGATTTTGGCGAAACGTCTGCAGGATTCCAGTCGGATGCAGGATTTGCAGGATTCCAGTCGGATGCAGGATTCCAGTCGGAGTTCAACGAGCGAACGGATGATATCCCGGAGTATAGTGTCATATATATATATATATATATATATATATATATATATATATATATATATATATATATATATATATATATATATATATATATATATATATATATATATATATATATATATATATATATATATATATATATATATATATATATATATATATATATATATATATATATATATATATATATATATATATATATATATATATATATATATATATATATATATATATATATCCTGTATATAATTCCAACAAATAGAGGATATAGCCCTGGATCTCCTTAGTATCCTGGTATCCGAATTTTTTCAATGGAGTAAGTTAAATGACGTCATCGCGTCTAGATTGAGGGCAAGAAATAGTGATTTTTATTTGGATTATTTCAAATATCTCGAACAGCGTATGTGATAGACGAAAACCGTAAATACAAAAATTGTAGCTCTCGATACAGCCTATAACACTGTGTGAACGGATTGGCTATTGTGTGTACGAATTTTGATTTGCGGTTAATAATTTACTCCCTAAAAGAATAATTTTCATGGTCTTTTAGATTTTTGTCTATAACTAAAACACCTTCTATATAATCGAAAAAATGCGTGAAACAAAAGTTATAGCGCCGGGTCTCCCACGTATTACGGATGTAAACTTTTTCCGATCGGATGAATGGCTTTGGAGAAAAAGCTGTTTTTCTGGATGCCAAAATAACCACAAAAAAAATTAAAAAAAATATACTTCGCGTTATTTCATTGTTCCCAATTTAAAGAGTCTAAATGCGGGTCCAGGCTTGAACTTTTCTCCCAAGTCTGAAGTCGGTAGCTGCAAATTTGGAGTATTTATTATGTTTTTTAATATTGCAAGGAATATCGCGAACACACTGTACAATACTTAAAAAGCGTAAATACAAAAGTTTAAGCTGTCGACATGGGCTATATCGTCATGTAAAAGAAATTGACATCTTAGACACAAATTTGAAATTATTGCCAATTTTCTATAATAAGGGGACACATTTTTCAGTTTTTTTGAATTTGCGGCGCACCCTGTATATTTATGAAAAAATGTCAAGAATAAAAGTTTATGGAGTCATTCCCTCTACGCCTTCTGGTTCAAGAATTTTTCCGGTCTTGTAAACGATTTTTGAAAAATGGTCTTTTTTGCACACGCGATTTTTATTTATTTTTTTAAATACTTACCGATCCCAATGGGTTCCGTCACGGTGCAAAGCTGCATATATGTGACAAATATGAATTCGATTGATTCAAATTTCGGACTTTTCGACAGATCGTGAAAAAAAGATGGATACATTTCTTATAAGCTTATGCGCCTCGTGGAGGGTTGAAAAGGAGGCAAATTTCAATTTTGTAGCTCCAGGTAGGTCTGAAAGTTATTCCGCAAAAACCAAAAGACGAGAACGTAGGACGGAGAACAGACAAATAGAATTTTTTTTTTAACGGTGATCATTTCTGTACCAACAGTGATATATAAAATTTTTATACGAGCTCAGATACTTTCGGAAATTCGATTTCATCGATTTTCGAAAGTAACAAGGGAGCCAATGGATTTTATTATAGAATACTTTTTGAACTCTATCGAATGTGAAAGAGCATAATAATGTGTGATTTTTTGTCAAATCAGATATCGTATCGAACCCTTTACTAAAGTCCAACAGTATCAGTGCGATGGCCTTCTTATCATCAATTGCTCGCGGTATGTCGTATGCAATATTAGCTAGTGCAGTTTCACAGTTACGAGCCTTCTTAAGACCTGAACTATCTAGTGGCCAGAATATTGTGTTCTGCCAGATATCCTCTTATTTGTGTATCAAGTATTTTTTCCAATACTTTCTAAAGAATAGGAAGAATACTAATCGATCTCAGCTGATTAAAATCTTTTTTTTTGTATTTGGAAGACTCACGCATGAACTTATCACATGCGTTGTAATCGTATTAATGACAGGACAACACAGATTAATTAAAGTAATATTGAACCCATCACTGCCAATTTCTCTTGACCGCTATAGTCATAGTCAATAGCATCTGCGACAATTACTTTGCGCTATAGAGCTACATGCTATTCTGAATTGACCGCCCATTATTTTGTAGTGTTTAATGCAAGTATTAATGCTTCATGACAATACCAACTTGCGAAAATTGATTCCCAAAAATGTTTTAGGCAGCGCAATGAAGTTCACCTTGGTCATACTGGGAGCGCTTTCGATTCTGAGCGCAAGCGACGGACAACTGCTCAACTCGTCACTGCCTCCTGGCAACTACGAATTCGTCCTGAAGCTAGACTACGTCATATCCGAAACCAAGGTTCCTTCTTACCTAGTAGACGTGCTGTACGACAGCCCCATCGAGAACAACGTCACATCGAACGATATCGCCTCACTATTCGGACTATCGAACCTCACGGCGGCGTCTACTCAAAACGTTCTCGCCCATCTTGGATTCAACACATCAGCGGTATTCAGCTTGAACGGGTTCGACAGACTCCTGACTGAATTTAATTGGGACTTCGCGGACTTTTATCGAACAATAACGGGACCCGGTCACTTAAATGCAAGTGGAGTCGCTCTAGGTCAAGCTTTGGAGGCTCTAGGAATCGACGTGGCCCAGTTCTCTTTGGGTATGACCTTGGGGAATCCGGACCCCTACGACGAATTCAAAAAAGGCACGTTCACGCCGGAAACTCTTAGCAACGCCACCGGCTTGATAAACAGAACAACGGACGACCTATTCGGAGCTATAAGAGACGCGACGTTGCCGCAGTTGCTAGTTCTCAACAGTTCTCAAGTCGTTGATTTATTCAGTCGTAACTCGATAGGCAGGAATGAGACGGTGGAAATATGGAAGTACATAAATATCACCATAGAAGATATTTACAATGTGGAAGGGTTTAGGAATCACCTGACCGCTGTCAGCGACAACTTAAACGTAACAACATTGGGAGTTGCGACTGGAAACGGCACAGTTACAATCAACCAGAGGACTTTTGACGTGTGGAGGAACGTAAGTCAGCTGATTGACGTGAGAGGGGAAACTTTGAACACTAGCACGGTCGTGTCACTATCGGGAGTTGCTACCAGAGAGGACAGTAACATAGTAGTGCTGGCTTCAAACTCATCTCTGACTCCTATCGCTCCGGGGAACCCCGCAAGCGACTTGGTAGGCTGCACGTTTCTTTCTTGGCAAAATGGTGCCCTAGTGCCGCTGGCCATCAGCAACGTGACCTTCCGTAACAATGTTCTCGAGATACGGAACGTATCGGAAAATGTTACCTTGGGATCTCCATTGATATGCGGCGGAAACGTGTACGGAATCGCGAGGGAAATAGTTTCCGACGTTATTGTTTTGGATACGTATGCGGCGTTCGTGTCTTCAGGTACTACCACCGATCCCAGTACTAACGCAACTACCATCTCGCCTATTACTAACACCACCGCTTCCGGCGGCACAACTAATACCACCGCTGTTACAGGTGGAACTAGCCCCGGTACTAACTACGGAGTACGCACCGTAGCAACGGGTGGTGCTCTCCTTTTAGCGGCAGTGTTACACGCACTGCTATAGTTTAGGAATATTTTTCAATTTGTATATAAAGTCGTAGATTGTGCAATAATAAATTATTCTGTTGAAATGGTCGTACTTCTTTCGCTTCCCGCCGAAAATGGATTAAATGATTTTTATAATCCTGATCAAAAGTATCCTTTGATCAGGTTGTCAAAACTATGTATTAGAATTTTTGTTATAGAGGATTAGTTAAAAGTCTCAAGCCTAAATTCATGAAATTTAGTATACGGGACTTTCTGATTGAGCTATCATAACACGTTTTTTTCAAAGAAAGTTCCACAGTCTGCTGTAATACTGTTGTTGTTGAATAGATCTTGCTGACGCTTCGCCAATCATCCTGTTAGCTTCTTCGAAGCTTAACTTAAACTGGCTCGTATTTTACTTTGTACTTGCTTATATGTTGTTTGGGGGGACAGGAACTATTGTCTCCGATTACTGATCCTCATATTGGTGAGTGGCGGTTAAGATTGGTTGGCATAGATTTCTATATACCCTCGGATTTTTAGTTGGTAGGAGAATTTATTGAATGCTAGGATTTTAGTTTTGTGAAATAGAAGTTTATGTCCTGTTCCGTGATTGTGTTTAGTAACTACTGATGAGTTTTTGTATCTGTTTCATGTTCTTGAAGCCTACTTGATATTTTTCGTCCGGTCTCTTCATACTCACGGAATGCCGTAAACTGTTGGTATCTCAAACGGAATTTTGTCCTTCACCTATCAAAAATGCTGAGAAATTTTTGGACAAGTGATAAATCTTATTTTGACATTATATTATTTAAGAACCTTTGATATGTCATCAGTGATAGTTTAAATATAAGAGAGGACGACAGTGACAAGTGTCCCAAGGCAACCCCAGACTTGTAATCAATTTCTCTACCAATAAAAGAGAATATATAGAAATCTATAAGCTACCAAACAATCTTAACCGCGACTCAGGTCTTTAACTGTAAGCAATATGGACAATGTTCATGCCCTCTCTTATGCCCGTTTCCCTCAAACAACATATAAGCAGGTACAGAGTAGGATGCGAGCTAGTTTCAGTTAACCTCCGAATAAGTCAACAAGATAATTGGCGAGGAGGAATCCAGCAGTTTGGCATTATGTATTTATTCCATTTGTGGATTGTTCTTAATAAGTATTTTTCATGTTACATACCCTATAACCTAACTAACCAAAATAATTAATGATTTGATCAATAATCAATCATTTAATTTGATTTTTGCTATATTGACAACTCCGTCAAATCTTAATCTTATTAAAAGTACGAAAAAATTAACATTTTTTCTACAAATAACGAAAAAACAGAAAATGTACTTTTCGTCAACTTACACCATACCGTGGGTAAGATGATGAACCTATTGTGATAAGACGACTAAGTACAAAAATCACAAAAAATCGTCATAGCCATTGTTAGCTTCGTGCCTCCATTTTACCCAATTAAGTTTCCTAACGTCTGTGGAAGTTAACACAATGCTTGGTTGATTACAGTCTGTCAGAAAGCTAACATGTCTTTGTCTGTTGGGAATTAAAAGTATTCTTGAGACAACTTCTTCACCTAGTACGTTTTTTCAGGTATATTCTTAACGTAGGATCAGGAATATCATAAATTACTGCTGCTGAATACGTGACGTGACGTGATCCTTAACGTACTTCCCTCATGGCTACTATGAAGCTATCGTTATTTATTAGATTTAAGCTTGTACGCCCAAGTACCACATGAATTTTTTTATCCGACCAAAAAGTTATATATTAGCTTCATTATTACTTCCTTAAAGAGGGAATAAAGCTCGCCAAGATCATCAATATGCTTTAGAAATTAACATATTTTATTAAAGTGCCTTACAGTTATCGATGAGACTGATTAACAAAAACGTTTGTTAAATCAAATGTGTTTAAAGACGTCTTTAGTTGACAACCTGAGTGCTAACCAATTATTAGAGATAATAGTAAAGAAATCTAGTCATGCGGAGTTAGATGCGCGTATTGAAGATAATGAAAATCCGTATATCAGACCAGGGCAGTAAAAAATCAACTGGATAAAGGGTGATATAATTCCATATTCCATAAATCATCGAGATCCTAAAATTTCTTCAGAGGAGATGAAATGCATAATCCCATTACGATTCTAAGTGGGTATCGCTAACTACCAGGAAAAAACATATACGGCAGTACTGAAAAAGACCAAGTAATAATGAGAAAATGTGGAAATTATGACTTCTCGTCAACAAACTATGAGCAAATTTTATTAAAAGTTTTGTTTCTGCACAGCATCTAAACTTCGAGGAATCAATGGTGAAATACTTCGGAAGACACCCAAGTAAAAAATTTATACGAAGAAAGCCGATCCGTTTTGATGTATATCAAGGCAGCAATCCAAGAAGAAACCTGTTCCATGAAAATGGATTTGGAAAAAATGCAGCACGTCTTATCAATATCATTGACGACTTTTCACCAGATATGCCAAAGCTTCCGCAAAAATTCTATTTGGATAACCTTGTTTCAATTTTTTACATTATCTGAAGTAACGTGGTTATGAAACAACAGAGACAATCCTCGACAATCGTATTCCTAAAATCTGTCCTCTACCTCCCAAAAACGTGGTGATTTTATATCAGCTATTGATAAGAAAGATATATATAGCTTGGCTGGATAATAACGCAGTAAGCATAGCCTCTACCTGCCATGGAGTCAATCCCACTTCTTAAGAGAAAGATTCTTTCAGAAGGGAAACAGAACTACAGAAGACAAATCGTTTTGCATTATCTCGAGAAATATAAAACAGCTTCAAAGGGATCAGGTAGACCCTAATGCTAAAAACAACGTCACTGTGAAACGAGTGTCTGATAATATTCGATATGATCAGAATGAATCAGAATGCGGAACACCAATACCTAGGTCACGCTAGCAGTAGAAATTTTTACAAATTGATTCCATCATTAAAATGTAGCTCCCCGAACGAAACCCAAGCCCTTAGCTGACTTAACACAGCGGGCAAGAACCAAAATTCCAGCTGTAACACCGAATAATACTCGCCAAAACACAAAATAATTAATTTTTTTTTTTCTTTATTGTTATTTAAGTTTAACCTTAAAATCCTCAATTATGTCGTTCATAAATTAAATTCCAGTGATTAAATAATCAATTGTGTCAATTCTTGTCATTCCTGCAAAAACGGTATAATGTCACATAAAAAATACTTAGAATTTTACGAAAAATCCAATAAATGGAGTAAAAACATACCCTTTGCGTTTAAATCCAGAAAATTTGGTATCTTAGGGAAAAAACATAAACGTGGCAACATCGCTTATATCACCATTGAATCCGGCCTAATACTAAATTTGATAAATTTAATAAATAAATTAAATAAATTAATAAATTAAGTCTGATAATTCTTAGATATACTACTGTTGCTAGGATTTTGATTAAACCTGTACATAAAGTATAAGATGGCGGCTAATGTTTTATCAATATTTATTTTTTAAATAAATCTAAACCGACGAGAAATTTAAGAACGCTACGTTTTTACTGAATTACATTGGAGCATGGTGAAAGTTAATTATTAATAACTGGAAACTTAGTATTAAATTTTCAATAAATAATTAAATTCACTTTCTAGAGTTGAGCATTAAAAAAAAGAATTTTCTTACTTGCTCCACACTTTTCATATTTTCTACAGATTTAATAACTGATTTAAGTAATACCAAATAGTTATTAATATCTCTTAAAAAAAACGTAACAAATTTGTTTAAAAATGATCTTTCCAATAATGAAAGCCTACTTCTAGATATAACATATTAAATTTCAGTGAAAAGCGTCCAACTTTCTAACTAACTAAACGTTATCTAAAAATGTTAGTATTGGAGAATGTTATGTTGTATTTAATGTTATTTCAAATAAATTAAATTATCAGATAAGTTTGTAGAATATTATGATAAGAAAATTCCAGGCAATGTTTTTTATGAATTTTGTTAAAAATTACGAAGTTTTGGTTATTTTTCTTAAAATTAAAAAAAGTGTGAAACATATAAGAATTATATTTTTCATATAAAATCGTATCTATCTAATAGTACTTCCAGGTCCCTTTCGCAAAACAATTCTGTTGAATTGGTGCTGTTCTTAAAGCCAAGGTTATTTTAAATTGAAATATATGTGACATATTTATTTTATCAACACTTTAAACTACATCTCCAAAGCATATAAACATATAAAAAAAATAAATAAGAACTATAAGTTCAGATTTTCACGAAATTATATACATTCACATGACAATTTTTTTAACAATCACATTTGATAAAGACACGGTGTTGTCGAAACAATTGTCATCTGAATATATATAATTTCGTGAAAATCTGAACTTTTAGTTCTTATTTATTTTCTTAAATGGATTTTTGTCAAGTTCAAAAATAAAATCAAAATAATTGTGCCATGCATATGGAAAATAGTCAACCCTACGTTTTTCATATTTTCCCAAATGCGTTGGCACATAATTTTGCTAGACATTTTTATACTGTTGTGGTTAGTTTTTATTTTAACAGAATTCTCAACGATATTTGCCTACGTCCGCAGTATTTGCTCTAAAAATATTGTAAGATCGATTCCTTACACGTTTACTTTGGAATGCCAGACGGTTTTTTGCTATATCGCGTCGGTTTTCTGCCGTTACGACTGGACAGATAGACATGGGTCGTAAAGGCGATTTGTGAAAGTCCCGGCTTTGACTTTATTCGGGTTTTTCTCGGTGTTATGACTTTCTTAACCGCTCGGCGGGCTAAGATATCGTTTTGAAATTGATTCCTCCACCACGATGTCAACATAAACTCGAGACGATGGTCTAAAAATATATTCATCGTTGAAATCGGGGTTTTTATGCACGCATTGCAGAGGTATTCTAGTTAAATTCAAACAAAATGGCACCCTTCATAGTCATTAATTTATATTCAAGAGAAGCACATTGCAATTGGAAAACACCAAAAACTATTGACGCTTCAATTACTTCGATAAATTGAAGCACCACTAAATTATGGACTCCATTCAGAGCAGTTTTGCAGTTATAGTGACG